TTCCTGCTTTCAGATTGTGGTTCTAAGTTCTGTGACTGTCCCTAAACAACAGTCACTGTTTACCTTGATGGCCTCTCCTCTGAAGTGTTGCTGACTAACCTGAGGCATATTCAGTCTATTCTGCCTGAGATCTTGTCACTTTGTCATGGGAATTGCTTTTCCTGGATTCTGCAGACAACTCAACATACTTGTAGATAAAACCTGGTGATTTAACATACTTCTATTTTTTTTAATATCACTTGATATCAAAGTATTAATACTTTACACCTGTGTTCTTGAGAGCACATACAGCTTATGATATTTCTTGAATATTCATGTTCAAGAAAAAATGTTCTACTTGTAGCAACTCTGAAATCATAACTGTTGTGATCAACTGAGAAAGGTGGTTACTCACTGTTGCTTCTACTAGCTGAGGGGGAACCACTGAAATTCTGAGATCATCGCTTCAAGGCATTTTGAAAGCAAAAGGAATGAATGGGTCCAAAAAGCGTTACATCACCTAAGGTCAGCAGCGTTAGACCCTTTCAGTCCCAGCGCACATTTTAAGTAGGCCAGTTGTAGAGATGACAGTATGTTCTGTGAGTATTATTGCTCTCTGCCTGTCCTATTTCTTGCCTTAAGCGTTTGTTGCTGCTCCCTGTTGGGAGACATGATAAAAGCCACACATGTTCTGTTCCACTATGGATATTCTTGAATTTGAAGTACAGGGCAGATAAGAGTTATTGCAAATATAATGAAATTGATATTTTTCCCCTGCATGTTGATAGATACACCAAGTTCCTCGTGCTGTCCTTCTGTCCCTAGTGGCCTACAACTTGTCTGACTACTCTTTCATTTTACTCCTTTTCTATTCAGAGCATGCGCCTGAAGTTGATAGCGAACAACACAACAGTGGAGAGGAGGTTCAGCTCCTGGATTGGTGGTTCCATTTTGGCTTCGTTGGTTAGTAAACCTCTGTTACCATGTTGCTATGCTAAGCAGCACTGTCACCCAAAAATTGATTTGGAGTAATAATGTGAGTGTGCATTGCAGAGTTTGTGCTGCTGTGGTGATCATCATAATCTTGTCTACCCTTGTGGTAAAGTGAAGATAATCTATTTAAAAACAAGACCAGTGTTTCCAATAAAAAAATAACTTGCCACATTCTCCCATTTTTTAATGGCAACATGCAGGCTTGAAATGGATAGAAATTACTTATATGTAGTACACCATGAAAGCAGAAAACCTGTTTCTGCATATTCCTGAGCTTCAGTGCTCAGTCGTTTGTAGAATGAAGTGGTTTGTGGGGATTGATTTAGCAGTATGGGAAAGGGAGACTGAAATCAACTTTTGGTTCTGTGACTTCCTGTCTTTAGTTCAATCACTAGTACTATAAAACTGAAAGGAGAATATGATTAAGCAGGTCAAGTCCTCTTACCTCATTGAATGTAAAGCCTTGCTTGTTTTCCCTCCTAGGAAAAGCTGATCATGTTTCACTTAACTACTAGTTGTTTGCTGGTTTGTTTTTTATTTTTAATTTTGTGTTCCGTTGTTTGTATTTTTTTTTTTAATAGGGCACTTTTCAACAGATGTGGATTTCTAAACAAGAATATGAAGAAGGAGGGAAACAGTGTGTAGAAAGAAAATGTCCTTAAACCTCTTACTGTGAAAACTGCTGCCTGCTCAGTGCTCCTTCTGTTTGATAGCTTTAGCATACTCAGGAATGGGATGGACTCTTTTTTTAGAAAATTTATATTGGATTTTTTGCATAATTCAAGTTCCATTTTAACAAATTTTAGAAATTTTAAGAGACCTCTGGTACTGTCATAGAAAAAGGATGTTTACGTCCCTTGTAAAGCAATAATTGATGTAACAAGCATTTTATAATTTTGTATAAATATCTATTTTCTCTAGTATTTTCTCCTGGGAACAGCTTTACAGGTTAGCTAATAGATAGAAGTGTAACCTTGCAAATGCCCATGCAAAGTTATTAAAACTCTGTTGTCTGCTTTCACGTATTAGTCTTCCTTGCTGCTACCTTGGCCTTAAATTGCTCTTATTTCTCTCTTAAAAAATAAAATTTCGTCTTCTATATTTGAGCAGCTTTGTGCGTACTTGCGGAGAAAGTGACCCTTCTGTTTCAGAAGTGGAAGGTTTGTCGCTAGTAGTCTGCTGCAGGGTCTCGGGGCCGGCGAGCTCCCCCTGCCTGCCGCCAGCGTTCCGTTCCACAGGGCGGGCCTGAGGCCGAGCGCTGGTCTGCTGGTGCCGTACAGAGAACTTCCTGTCGGTAGACCATCAGTGCTTCCCACCTCATTTCTAAGAATGTATAGAACGCCTGGGATGGAGGTAAGGAGCAAAACTTATTCGAGCTAGGGCAGTTAAAGCAAGGAATTGCCTCTCCAAGACTAGAATAGTCATCGAACCCTCAGCATGTGGCTTGGCAATTCTGGGGTGAGATGTAACTCGGAGGGGCAGTCACTGGGCGTTTGTTGCTGGCACAGCTCCCTGAACCACTTCACTTCAGGGGCAGTAAGGGCCTCTGACTTGCATGGGGAACAGGCACTCAGAGGATGGATGGAGGGTTTTTTGTGATTTTTTTTTTCAGCAGAAACCACATGATACAGCCCTATGTTACTGTTACTGTTCAGCTCACTTTAACTTACAACTGTTTGATGTTCCCTATTGGGACACAGTTTTGCTCATCTTAGCAACTGTGGAAAACCAAATAGCATTTAACTGGTTTTAAAAGAAAAAAATAAATGTAAACAATACTACATGTTTTATATTTTAAAAAGCTTTTGTGGGTAAATGATGATGAGGCCTCTAGTTGAAAACAGTTCCACATTACCGCCAAAGAATAAAGTAACTTATCAAACCAGCCTGCTTTTGCCTTATCATGATAACCACTTGTTGCTCTTGAAACAAAGCTGCTTGCTCTGGATTTTCAAAGCTATTGACAAACTCTATTTCTCTCATGAAAGGAGGCAAATGAGTCGGCTACAATAGGGGATCCAAGTCACCAGCTATCGTTCCCATACGGGAAGAAAAAGATAGATAGTTTGTGTTCAAGTAGCATGTGGAATGCCAACTGAACTTGTCTCCTACTCACTGCAATGAGTATGAGTGATAGTTACCATGAAGACACACAGTAGGCTTTTTGGGTGCACTTTAAGCTTTCCTTCCATGTCATGTGCTTAGGTTTCAATATGTCTTATCAACTTTTATCTTCCGTTTTTCTTCTTAAAAGAATTATAGTGTGATGGTAGTATCTGTGAATGTTTTAGCACTCTATGGAGAGCAGAAGGTTTCTCAGTTTCTGTTTAAGCTTAAAGTGGGTATTTTGTGATGCAGAGGAATAACTGAAGGTTGAGATGATGGCGATAGACTTACCTCCTACAATCCTGGTTCCCCTGGAGTTTTCAGCATTTTATCAGCTTACACTGCGTAGCACATTTGCTTCCTGAAAGCCTACTATCTCTGACTTTGTTATAAATTTCTACACAACCTCCTCTGAAGGTTAAAAGCTTTCAGGAACTGTTTGTCATCAGTTGAGAGCATCAACACCTTTCTGCTTCCATTTCACAGAAAAGATTATTACCAGTCTTCCTTCAAACATTTTGCACACTGCAAAAAACTATTGTACAAATGTTTGAACTTGACATTGGTATCTAGATATAAAGCGTGTGTTGTTAAAAGTTCACATGCTAAGTATTTCACAACAAGCCAGACGACAGAGTGTATTTTCTCCATGCTTTTATGCAGAAAACACATGTAACTTGGGTGCCGTACCCATAACTCGGATGACTGGGGAACAAAGGCTAGTATGTGAAGAAGTTCAGGGGTTCCTATGTTTCTGTTTTGGTTTAATAAGTATTTGTTGAACTAAACCAGGTAAATATCACCCCTACGTCTGGCAGTCTGTTGCTGCTTGTCACTGCTGATGATGTATCTCTCACTTGTATTATAACTGGTTAATACATCAATTTTCAAACATTGCTAGAAACAACTTCAGGATTAATTTATGCACCAAAACTGCTTTTTAATTCCAGATCATGAGTTTAATTAGGGTCAAATGTGAGATTTAAAAAAAAAGATGGAGACTCCCAGGAACGCTCAGTTGTTTGCTGGTTTCAGATCTTGCTGCATGTTCAGTCACAAACACGCTTGACCGGTTGCTTGCAGCACTCTTCCAGCATGTTACTGGCTCTGAGATTTTACAGCAAGGTGAGGGAACTTACTTTCCAAGACCTTCCGCCTTGTCCTCTCTAGGTTTTGCCTTCTTGCTCTTGTACGTAAAAATTTTTCAAGTCTGAGCCTGAAATAAAGAAGTCAGCAGTTAATTTGTAGATAGCTTATAACAACCTCAGTGAGCTCAGCTCCCCTAATCAAACAGAGGCTCCCAGTGATTAGCAACTTCAATGTTAACTTGTTTTTGATACCTGCAAAGCATGGGGGTTTGTTTCTGTTTTTTTTCCCCCTTGTACTTTAGAATTCTACAAAAATTCAACCTCTGGGAGGATCTTAGATAGTCTGCATGTAAAGTTACTTATAGTGCAACTAACCAAGTCTTTTAACTACGATGGGAAAAGCAAAAAGAAAGAGCAAGCTGTCATTTCAAAAAGCTGTATTTTCAGCCTACTATCTGTAAAACCAACAAGATTACTGCTGGTTTTTTCTTGCAAAGTGGAGTAAGGAGGACTGAGGAACAGGTTACCTGATGAAGTGATTCACATGAGGTAAGTAATAGAATTTCCTCCTCTTGTATTTTTTGTTCAAGTACCACGGTATTGGCCATTCCTTGCAAGTGTACCTGTTAAAGATTGATAAAAGGGATTATAGAACATAACTTTTGTCTTTGTTCTTGGATTCTACCAGTTACACTTGGTTACAGCACAGTGATAGAGGGGTCTGACCAGCAGATGACAGAATTTGTATGAGGTATTTTTCAGGTCTGTTGCTGGCTTGGTTTGTAACTACATCTCATCTGTAGCTCAGTGTCTTCCTATAGAAAGTGGCCATGTTTTGAAAACTGGAGATGTTTAAAGAGAGGGCCTAGTAGGGACAGTCATTCTTTGCATTTATATTTTAAAGTTATTCCTTCGTAAGAAAAATTTCAAAAGCTGATGCAAACAAACTGTGTGAAGAGAGATTTGTTTCTGCTACAATCTTCTTTTAAATGTCAGTGCTGGAGTGTCATGTCAAGTGCAAATCTGCCTCGTCTTTCCCTCTAAATGTAGACTTGGACTTCTGTTTGGGGTTTCTCCTGCGTATGGGCTGCACAGATGGCTCATGCAGACCTACCTACAGACTCCAGTGCATCCAAAAATCTGTGAGATCTACTACTCTGTGTTGTGGAATTTCTGCACATGCTTAAAGACGTTGTGTTGTCTGCCCCTTCCCACTGCTTTACATGGATCTCCAAAAAGATGGGCAAACCCTTCTTTTTGGACAATGTTTCCAAGCAGAAAGAAATACACAGAAGCCTTATCCCTAGAGATGTAGATCTAGTGCATTTAGTACTCTGCTTAGATGTAATGGGTAAACAGATAACAACTGGAAATTCACCAGTATAATAATGTGTGACCTGCTGTTACCTACACTGTTGCTGCAGAGCTCAGTGCTCTAATTAGTGCTTCAAAGGCCAGTACAATGATGGTAACACACCTTCAGCAGCATCATCACCTGAGATTACTGAAAGTAAATGGATAATAAATAATTCTAAAGGTAGAAGCTTCTAATTAAGTTAAATATATGCCAAGACTAGTAGGGAATTCCAGTGGATGCTATGTGGTCTCATGCAGCAGCTCACAATATGTGGATTTTGCATCACAACTAAGGAAGTCCAGGTGGTTCTACTTGTACAGTTACTCCGTTTGTTCATATGTTACAGAATATCTGTAGTAAAACACACATCATATTAGTTATGTGAAACTAATTTTGCTATAATTAATAGTAGAGATCGCCACTGAATTATTTAGCAAGCTATAAACACATTAAAAAACCCCAAGCAAATCAAACCAAGCAACAACTCAAGAAGTACTTGAATACTGACCAGAAAACATGTTTCCTTCTGACCTGTATATACAGGTTTTCTGGATAAGCTACGGATTTTCTGATAAAGATACATAATAGAAAAACTTACACATATGGGAAAAAAAAAAGTTCTCTTTTTCCATACCAGTAGGTGCGTCCCAAGAAGTCATATCTCCACTCGCCAGGTACTGGCTTTTCATGGCCAGTTTGTAAAAGCCTCAGAGCAACCTCTCTTTCTTTGACAACCAAGTCTATATTTTTCATAGACTTTTCTACCTGGAAACAGAAAGAGTTTCATGACAGGCCAACAAAACACAGTGCTGACAATTTAAAAGATCTCAAATGAAGGTCTAAGACAAAATTTAAAGGAAAAACAAAGCTTAAACACATTAGGAGTTCCATCATAAGTAAATCTAAGTTTTTTAACAAGTAAATTAATTTTTCAATGGTAAAGATACCAAAGGAATAATTTAGCAAGTTAGTGGCAGAATTGTAGTAATGCAAAAGAAGGAGGGGGTGGCAAAAATGAAGACAGCGAAGAACTGAAGGGCACAAGTTTGGAGAAGACAAAAGCGAGAAGTTGGCAAAATTTAAGTACCAAAAAAAGTCTGCAGAAGGTACAGATAGAGATAATTTTTTTTTCCAGGAGGTTTCTAGATATCCTCTAGTGGAGTTTCAGGGCATGAAGATGGCAAAATATTTCTTAACATTATGGAACAAGTGGCAAGGCTTTTCCCACTACGCTGCTTGAGTGCAGCATTTGTGCATATACTAAAGTCAGGGAAATAATTTAAAAAAAAAAGGTCTTCAACAAGCTTACAAAACTCATCTTTCACTCAGCAGTTTTCCTTAAGAGTTATATTTTTAGCTAGTACGGAAAGGTTACCTTTTCTAATCGTTCTGGACTGGGCATAGGCCTGAGTTGTCGCTTTGATTCTTGCTCTAGAGTTAAAAGCATGTTTTTTAGGACATACCTAGAGCAGAAAGCAGAGAGTGGTGATGTAGTCTCCAGCCTCAGACTTTCAGAATCAGAATGGATGCCAACCTCAGCAAGCTGATCTAATTCAGTCATTAGCCCCGGCAGACGTCACTCAGAACCCCGCCTGTCCTGCAGTTCCAGCAGCCCCAAAAGGGCGCCAACAGCCTCTCCATACCAAACCTGAGCCCTTCCTGCTGGACGCAGCTCTAACACAGCCACCTGCAGGACAGCTCGTGTGCTCTGAGCAGGACCAGAACCTGGGCTGCTCCAAGCCCAAAGCAGCCTCCCGCAGGCAGAGCTCATGGCAGACTGAATTCACTGGCTAATAAGTTCACTAGCCACACTTCAATAAAACATGTGGAGCTGCTTTAAAGAGAGGCCACTTCACTAAAACTCACCAAAGTTTGTGCAAGTCTTCACTGCTCTTGCCCCTTAGCTGCTTTATATTCCACGCATCCCCTGCAAAGACAATTTAAAGAAATAACATTCTAATAGAACAAAGCTCTCTTACTGAGGTAGGTAAAAAGCAGTGCTTCTACTCGCATGCTCTCCTGAGTCAACAGAGCAAGAGTCACTTAAAAAAAAAAAAAAACAAAACAACAAACTACCACGTGGAAAGCTATCCCTGTGGGTACTTAGGTTTGCTTTGAATACACAAATATTAAAAACGCAACTATGTGTGCTGTTTGTATGTGTTTGTAAAAGGCTGGGAATAGGAAAAGCTGTAAGATGAATCTTTACACTGAAATATTTTCTTCCATAGTACTGGGTATTTCATCAAGAACACCTCATTTGTGATACACTCGCTTAAGAGCATAGCAGATTTACAGCAAAATATTTTGCTGCATAGTAACTGTTTGCTTTCATAAACACAGAAAAAAAAAATTAGCAGGCATAAAAAGCACAAGTACATATAAAATAGTAAGTATGTAGCTAAAGTTATGTAGCTAAAAATACTTCCTATAATGCAAAAGGTCAGATCTCAGCTGAGCACCAGTGGCTCAAAGATCACTATTGAAAATGCTAAATATAACTCACCTGACTTTACAGTGTTTTCTCCCCAGTTTTTTGGATCATCAAAAAATTCCTCCAGACCTTTGCGAGACAAAGTAGTGTGCAGGAACTTGAGCTGATGGAAGGGCTCAGCTTTTGCTGCATTCTTGTGGAATAGATTCAACGTCAATCTGCACAGAAATTTGAAAAGAAACTATACATGGTAAGAAAAATAACGTTTGGCTAAACAAGAATGTTTATTTTGTTCATGAAGGCACAGCTTCAATTCTTCAGAAACATGTTATCTCAGTGCTGTTTCCTCTGCCTCTTGTCTCACCTAGTTAACATTTATCCATGCTCAGAGATAAATAGCAATTCGGAAATGTAAAAGAAAGGACAAGTTTGAGCGCCACTGTACACTAAGGCCTCTGCCGAACGTAACCGGATGGAGAAGGCAGTAAGCACACGGCGTAAGCCCGACCCCCCGGCGCTGGGAGCACAAGCTCGCACCCT